TTATAAGTAGAAAATTAAAGGTGATAGAAAAAAACGTTTCCTATAAAAATCAATGATAATGAATCAAGATAACATAATCCATAGTCAATGCCACCATAGTTATAACCATTTCTTAGGTTCAACCCAGGAATTCTCAAAATATCAAAATTGGGAATCATCTGCGTTAAATTCTATTATAAGTAGAAAATTAAAGGTGATAGAGAAAAACGTTTCCCATAAAAATTAATGATAATGAATCAAGATAACATAATCCATAGTCAATGCCACCATATATATCACCACTTCTTAGGCTCAAGCCAGGAATTCTCAAAATATCAAAATTGACAATCATCTGCGTTAAATTCTGTTATAAGTAGAAAATTAAAGGTGATAGAGAAAAACGTTTCCCATAAAAATTAATGATAATGAATCAAGATAACATAATCCATAGTCAATGTCACCATAGATATCACCATTTCTTAGGTTCAAGTCAGAAATTCTCGAAATATCAAATTCGCCAAAAACTATGAATGAATTAATAGATTGTGTAAAGAGTGCCTTCGACGCATTAACTAAAGAAAAGCTAGATAACGCATTCTCGACACTACAAAAGTACATGGAGTCAACCATGATGGCCTCAGCAGGCAACAACTATAAAGTTGAATAAATTTGAATCTGAGCATGCTACAGAAAAATTTTTCGAACGAAGGTTGCAGCAAATTGTATTCTTAACAAAATTGCACTCTCTTACACTTTTGCTCTTAGACGCATAGATATCGCGAAAAATATGAAAATTCATGAATAAAAAAAGCTTCATCATGAAGGGCGTTTATATTGAACCAGCTGAATTGTGTTTAAATGTGTAAAATTTTCATTAATGTATGTTTAAATTAAGTTACAAACTGATTTACTAATTTTACAAATACAATAAAGCAGTTTCCAAAGTTTTGTATACCATAATTTGAGACAAATTGTAAAGAGAAATGTATACCATAATTTGCGACAGAGGGTGTATATTAAATTAAATATATTTTTTTCGTATTTTCATTAGCTTACATTTATTAAGAGTATTTTTGTTTTGTTTTATTTTGACCTAAATTCCAAGTATTTATAAAGTTATAGCACATAGAAGACAGTGCCGCTGACGCCTTAACCTTATCTATTGCTGACTTACAAGAGAGTACTGTTGTGAAGGTTTAAAAAATCGATTGTTTCTTCTTACATTGCGATAGTAACATCCAGTACATGTAAACTATGAAAATTTCATGACGCAATTTAAAATATTTACAGAGTTATAGCAAATAGAAAAGAGTGAAATCGCATCGGTCACTTTAACCGTCACTTTAAATGCGTTTATCTCGAAACCATTTCTTTTTCAATACGTGGAAGACAGAACTTAAAATTTATTCAGTCTATCGAGTTGTAATTTTAACACATTATTCTATACATAGGTCATTCTTATTGAGAGCAGAAATTTGTCAACCCATTATTAATTTCTTATTTTTTATTCGATTTTCGACAAAATCGGGTTTTAGGAAAAATAATCTTTGCATGTACGACCATTTTGCTATTTATTTAGATACGATTATAAATTTGCTTCGAACGATAGTGGCAGGCCTGTAGATTGATAAAAAAAATTGAATTGTGGGTTTCAGGTCACTGGTAGTAGAGATCTACATTCCACCAGCCATTCGCCTTTTTGGGGGAGTTAATTTTAACAGTAGATATTATATTAAATAATGGCTAATGGTTGAAATTTTGTACGTCACACAGCAACACGCCTTTAATCCCTTAGCCTACGCGCTAACTTGCGATCGTGTGGGCAATAGTAAACAAAAAGGTCGGTCGCCCTTCTAGCCATTCAGCTGTTCAACCGTGTGCCCAAATTTGCGCAAAATGTATAATTACTCACCACGAGCCAAAGTCGTGGTTTTCCCTTATGGCACAAATTCTTTACCACGAGTTAGACTCGTCGTTTTGGCCTATGGCACAAGTTGGTTACCACGAGTCTCACTCCTCCACTTACAAACGTCCTTTCAAAATAAAACAGATTAACCCTAACAAAGAAGTTACATACCACACTAACATGTTGAAACTCTGGAATGAAAATTGTATAGATTTGATTAAGTTACCATCGACATAGCACCTGAATTGCATGCAATCTAGACACAACAAATTGTAAGTCATTAATTTTTGAAAACTACTTTAGGGCGATATAACTACAATGTAAACAAGCCATAAATTCTTGAAAACTGTGTCGGTTTAAAACATCGTAACCTTGCAATACAAGTAAATATTGTATGTTAAAAGAGTGAAAATATATTTCTGCTGATTGTGACAGAAAGGAACCGAAGCCATACTGACACTAATTTAAATAACAAATATTATAGAGCGTTGATCGCAGGAAGTTTAAACGAAAGATGTAGGATGTTGTTGATTAAACCGAGGCTTTACAATTAATACCATATTAACCCAAAAATATTCAATAAATTAAGCTTAAAGTATGTGTAACTTCGCTTGATTAAGTCAAGGTCGCTTGCGACCGAGGCGCTGCAATTGATACTAAATTGGACAGCGAAATATATCACAGCATTTCAACTGCAAACGACTTTGGCTTAATACTTTTCAAGTGGTGACAACAATGTATCCCGATTAAGATAAACATCATTGAAAACGGTGTAGTTGTATGTTGATGTGGTATCGAATTCGACTAATTGTAAGTCGTGCATTTTTTAAAACTACAATTTTATAGCTATATAGCAGTGGTGTCCACTAATTTTTGGTCAAGATCGACTTTTTATATAAATGTCTAGCCAAGATCGACTGAAGGGTTTAAAGTAACCTTCCTTTTTTTTGCTCTGAGGCCCAGATGTAGATATTTCAGATTCATGATTTTCTTGGCGATCGAAGTTATGGCCACCACTGATTTAGAGCTTATAAATAAAAAATGGTCCAAAACTAAGGTTTATGTATAAAAAATATTTCCCCATAGCCTTTAGTTTATGAGTTATGATTGAGTTAATTTTTTAATCAACAATTTTGATGTTTAATCGATTTAGAGCTTATAAATAAAAAATGGTAATAATTGGGTTCAATCTTGTTATGGATCTAGTCTTTATCGCCCATTACTAAGGTTCTATGTATAAAAAGTATTTCCCCATCGCTTTTAGTTTTTGAGTTATAATTGAGTTAATTTTCGAAAATCAACAATTTTGATGTTTAATCGATTTAGAGCTTATAAATAAAAAATGGTAATAATTGGGTTCAATCTTGTTATGGATCTAGTCTTTATGGCCCATTACTAAGGTTTTATGTATAAAAAGTATTTCCCCATCGCTTTTAGTTTTTGAGTTATGATTGAGTTAATTTTCGAAAATCAACAATTTTGATGTTTAATCAATTTAGAGCTTATAAATAAAAAATGGTAATAATTGGGTTCAATCTTGTTATGGATCTAGTCTTTATCGCCCATTACTAAGGTTTTATATTTAAAAAATATTTCCCCATCTCTTTTAGTTTATGAGTTATGATTAAGTTAATTTTCGAAAATCAACAATGTTGATGTTTAATCGATTTAGTGCTTATAAATAAACAATGGTAATAATTGGGTTCAATCTTGTTATGGATCTAGTTTTTACCGCCCATTACTAAGGTTTTATGTATAAAAAGTATTTCCCCATTGCTTTTAGTTTTTGAGTTATGGTTGAATTAATTTTCGAAAATCAACAATTTTGATGTTTAATCGATTTACAGCTTATAAATTAAAAATTGTAATAATTGGGTTCAATCGTGTTATGGATCTAGTCTTTATCGCCCATTACTAAGGTTTTATGTATAAAAAGTATTTCCTCATCGCCTTTAGTTTATGAGTTATCAATCATAACTTATGATTGAGTTAATTTTCGAAAATCAACAATTTTGATATTTAATCGATTTAGAGCTTATAATTAAAAAATGGTAATAATTGGGTTCAATCTTTTTATGGATCTAGTCTTTATGGTCCATTACTAAGGTTTTATGTTTAAAAAATATTTCCCCATCGCTTTTAGTTTATGAGTTACGATTAAGTTAATTTTCGAAAATCAACAATGTTTATGTTTAATCGATTTAGAGCAGTGGTGTCCACTAATTTTTGATCAAAATCGACTTTTTATATAAATGTCTTGCCAAGATCGACCGAAGGGTTTAAAGTAACCTTAGATAGATATTTCAGATTCATGATTTTCTTGGCGATCGACTCAAAACTGCTTTGCGATCGACGTTATGGACACCACTGCTATATAGCAACGTTGTTGTGGCTCGGTCCTATTCTAGAAAACTGTATTGCTTTGTTCTTTTAAGGAATTCCTGTGATATTAGTTGCTGCATGCTCTGTAAAATTGTAAATTGTCACTGCAGAAAGTAAATAAAACCGTTGTAGAACCGATAAATGGTGAGATAATTTGGTAGTAGATTGATTAATACATCCATACCTCGCTTTACGGCCTAGATACGTTCCACGAAACTTGGCCGCAAAGTGAAAAGCCGTATAAGGAATCAATTCTTCTAATACATCGAAAAAAAGTTTCGAAAAACATTTTAGGCCGTAAATCGAAAACGTGCCTTAATTGAAGAGGGCCGTTATAGCGAAATGCCGTATAAAGAGCGGCCGTATAGCGAGGTATGGGTGTATTGTATTTTAATTTGATGCTAATCCATTTCAAATTCGTAACTAAGAGAAGATTTCAATTAATAAATTTGATAGGCTGATAGGGTATTAAAAAGAATGAATATTTCAAACTAACATACACATATTTTTATTGTATTTAACAAAAAATGCAAAACACGTGTTTGCTTTTTCTTGTATTGATTATAAATATATATGTTTCAAACACTATCCAGCTTCTGTTATAAAATATTGTTGTATATTTATTGATTAACCGCAACCGCATAATTGAATTATTATGTTAATTCTATAAACAATGTTTTGATGTCTCTATTACTTTTGGAAAGCAAAATTTATAATTTTCAAATTCACTTACACTGTACGCAAAATGTGTTGTTCACTCTTGCGTAATATGACTGGCACAAACATCTGCCGTTGAGGCACATGGAGCCGGGAATATCGTCCCTGCAATCCCAGTCGCTGTTGCATTCTGAACCCAACTCAACGGATCCTGCAGCCGACATCATACAAAAAAACACCTAGAACAAATTAAAATAAATCGTTAGATTATAACAAATTCAAGGAAAACGGTAGTTGAAAATGAACAATGATTTCGCAAACGGTTCGGCTTGTTTAGAGGCGATTTTCTAAGTACCTCGTTTCGAAGAAAGCCAGAATCTAATGGCAGCCTTTCAAAGAACTCCGAAGAGAGCGATTATGATAATAGGTATAGTGAAAGCCCCAACATCAATACGAGGCCGTTATAATTTACGTCTTAGTAAATGCGATCGAAACGCTAACAAGTATCGATAACAGTGGTAATGATAAAACAATCGGAATTTTAGCTCTTTCAATTTAATCGGTTTGAAACCACCATCACAGGAAGACATACCACAACCATATATGTTCGTATCGATAGGCGGTGGATAGAAAAACCAAACCGTCCTCGGCTTCTCGCAAAAGATCTCTCTGGCAAGGAGTAGTAGGCATCGTCAATTTCAATGGACACACGGGACTGTGTTAGGTAACTCACGTTCGCATCGTGACTGCGAAGTTCGTGCCATGGCGGCTACAGATGAATATTTATTCGGCTTGGGATTTACAACGGGGACCGAGTAGCAATTTAAATTGAAAATTGGTAGGCGTCTGCAACGCGACAACTCGAGGTTAGCAAACTGAATAAATTATCACTTTTTTTGAGCACATAGAAAATGGAATATTCTTTGTTTTTACTTTGATTCCTTATTCTCTGTCAGAAGAAGCCGACGACGAAACCTTGATCGTGATCGTGTTCGTTCAAGAACGTCTAGCATTGGATTTGCTCACCTCGAGGCTATTTTTCGCGAAATTACCTGACAGCTTTAACGTGAGATGGGCGTGTAAAATTGGCTTTGTGCGTGAGGGAAAAATTAGTAATGGTAATTGAGGAGGTGTTTATTTTTTTCTACCGTTCTCATCATTCCTTGCGCTCGTTTTTACGCGAATAATGAGCTTGATTATAAATACAACTCCTCAAGGAATGGTATATTAATATATAAATTTATATCAAGTACAGTTGATAGAGAACAATTTTCTCATGCTCGAATCTGCGCAAGAAAAACAGGTGTTAAACGTCCGCTAAGGTCGTCTGTTGCTTCTTTTAGGTGAACAGGTGACCGTTTGGCGTAGCGGTTGCTACCCACGTTAATCCTGATTATTTTTAACGCTTTCCCGTTTGTTTCTCGACTGTTAAAACTTGTTTTTAGCATTGTAGACCCGGTGATTATTGCGTACTTTGCGAATCCCGTAACTCGGGCAGATGCGTTCTGGTTTCAACCCGGTCTAAGTGCTTATCCATCAACTACTATAAATTACTCCAATTCCAAGTAGAGAGACAAGAAGCACTTTAAAAGAAGGATCGTTACGGTTTAAACCAGATTCTTTCTGTTATGATCGAGTTTAGTATCGAAAATCAAATATCAAAAGGCAGACTTAAGTTTAAAAAATCATAACGAGGTGTATATGAAATAAGAAATTATTTATAGCACAATAAATCTTTAATAAATTTGCTTTAAAATGTTTTTTATTTCATTATTACATCTCAATTCGTTCTTGAGATACAATTTTGTAAATTAATATACTTTTTAAAACAAAACAGATGCAATGTTTAGTTTAGTTTAACAACTACCATATTTATGGAAACTAAGAAATTTTGTATGGCACAACACTTGTTGTTTCTTATTGCACTCTATCTCAATTCATTTTTAAAATACAATTTTCTAAATTTTTATGATTAAGTCACACATTTTCTTAAAGTGTTGATCCTTGAGATCTAAAACACTTTTTGATTTACGGAGTTAACACATTTTTTAAGAATTTTTTGTTGGTATTCAAAAACCATAGCCAAGAAATTTTTGTCAATACCAAAGCTCATATTTAATTCTAAACTGACCATCAACTTTTGGAGAACTTCAAAATGTATGAGTGCCATATAAGCATCAAGGTGCATTTTCGGTATTGCCATCTTTCTAGATAAGTTTCTAGAAATCCTTGAAAATGCTTAAATCATGGAAAATGTTATGGTAATCTTTCTAATAGTAGTTTATCCATTAGTTAACCATTAGAAATTAATGAATACTGTTGGGTATCTTTAAATGTCTAGAGAAAGAAAGAATTTACATTTATACGGGTTGTATACCTGCTTGGCCCTTGGATGAACTTGAATTGAGCAAGGTCGTACAGGTCCATACAGATCATACTGTCTCGGAAATATTTACATCTCATGTATTATGACTTCTGCCTTAAATTTGATGTCTTATTATCTCCCTTCCTGATCTTATGTTCCCGTCAAACTGCTGCATTGGTTAATGAATGGTGTATTGACGAGAAAACACCAGCTTAATCTTTAGAGCTATTACTAGTTATGAGCTCTTCTTCTGAAGTAACTACATAACCTCCCACCGAGGCGCTGCAATTGGTGGCATATTGACATTAAACTAGTTAATTTTGCATCAATAAGCTAAACTCAACAATGAGAATTTCCATATTTTAGTTAATTATTTACCTTTACAGTATATTTTGTAGAAAGATACGGTTAACTGAAAAACACAACAGAGCGTGGACATATAGAACACATAACAAAGTTTTTAATGCAAATTAAGAATGTCATCTATGTAAGTATTTAATCTGTGGTGCAGAAATATATTTAGGTCTTACTACGAAACATGCCAGGAAACTTGCTGTAGCATGCTGTGCACAGCATGCTACAGCCACTTCCCCGTGTGCCACTTCCTGTGCACAGCATGCTACACTTGCGTACGAACTAACCTTTAAGTAAAACTTGCCAACACCCGAAAAGTGAGATAGAAACTTAATGGCTGACTTCGATCTATCAGTTTGTATAGCGCATTTTGCAAGGGCGACCAGTTTCAATAAAACCAATGTAGATAGTTTTTATGGGAACTTAATAACCGTCATGGATCGTTATATATTCGAACCACAGAACATCTACATGCTGCTGAAACTGGTGTAATTACTGTTTTTATAATATGGCAAAAAGGCATGGGATACGACAGGTTGAAACCTCATTTCAGCAGAAAAGGGTACGTTATTGACTGTAGCCTCTGCAGCAAATGCTGTGGGGAGTACCGTTTTATACTAAATGGTTCAGTGAGGCCAGCATTGGTAAGACCAGTATTGAGTTCCGTTGTCAAAATTAAAACAGAAACGAAAAGAACAAAGCAGAAATCCTTGTTTTCTGCTGAATGCTCAGAAACACATTTGGCGTGACACTAAAAAATAGACAGACTAGTAGATCAATCAGAGAAAAATCTAATCTACAAGACGTGGTCAAGTGGTCCAACACAGGAAAAAAGAAATGGATTGAATATGTTAGTTGTTGTCTTAGTGTTTAACGTCTTTATACAATTTTAGCATTTTTAATACAATCTTTTAATATTTTATTTATAAGTACCAAGGCTTTCACGGCCAGTGTTAATTAAACTAAAAATAGAACTAACACAAGCACTATCACTAGAACTAACACTGGACCTAGAACTAGAAACTTTCAGCTTAAGCAGTGCGTCTTTTGAAAAAATGTTTGAGGTTTCGGATGCCATGTTGCAACTTTCTTCAGAAACAAGTTCGAAGTGACGAAATCGGTTAAAATTTGACAATTCTTTCTCGTATCAACACCTATTCTGTCTTAATCAAGATCCTACGTGCTGCAGCGGTGTCGATATGATGCTTAACTCTGAAGAAGGTTGGCGTTACCCTCTTATCCTGCATCTAAATAGGAAAGTCAAGCCAATTAATAGCTTGCGTTGTCTAATCCGTAAGATGTCAAGATCATTGATTTGTTTGTTAATATCTTCCCCATAAAGATATTAACAAACAAATCAAGGATCTTGACAATTTATGGATTAGGGCTTTCCAACGTAGATGCAGAGATAAAAGGGTAACGCCAACCTTCCTCAAAGTGCAGCACCATATCGACACTGCTACAGCAAGTAGGATCTTGATTAAGACAGAACAGGCGCTAACGAGAAAGAATTGTCAAGTTTTAACCGATTTCGTCACTTCGAACTTGTTTCTGAAGAAGGTTGAATTTTAACTTGTATAATCTATATAATTTATATCTTAAAACGTGTGATAAAAAAAGAATTTGGTCGTGTTTAATATAATATGTTGTGTACTCATTACTTCATTACAATACCTCTGAACATTAGACGTGGTGCCTGATAACATTTCTTTCAAAAACCGAAACAAATTTGTAGCACCGATTTATATAAAACAAGTACATCATCTTTTTAAATATTGATTTTTATTCAATTATTATCCTTTTGATACAATTCTAATATAAAAAATGAACTTGGAGTTAAACATTGCTAATAGAATCATTAAGCCTTATAATTTGTGCATTTCATAACTTTAAATATCAGCCCAGAATGATTTTTTGAAATACAGTACACTCGCGATGGTGTGAACACAAAAATACAGTGGGTCGGTCATACTAACGAGGTTGTTCATAGAAACGAGGGTGTAATTAAAAAAATTAAGTTTATTACTTAAACCTAAATTAGTTATTCATGAACATTCTTAAGACTTAAAAAATGTGTAATTTTTTTCTGGATATTTTTTTGAGCAATTTTGGCCATAACTACTTTTCCTTGAATTGCTCTCTCAAAGTGATGATTTGACTTATATTTATGGAATTTTGATTTGACCATTCTACAGCAACATTAAATGCTTTAATTGCATCGGAATGGCAAATTTTCAGTGCACTCATTTTCATCTTCATCTAAAGACCATTTCTACAACATCTGCTGCCTCATCCTTGTCCAAATGTTCCACATCTGCAACAGCGTAGTCACCCTAAAATGTGCCGTTTATGATTTTGCTATCGACTTTTAAAACCACTTATGCATTAATTTACTGGAGCTACTTCCTGTGGTAAATTTATTGTATCCCTAATAGCATCAAGACCCAAAGTTTTTTCACATCTTAATTTTTCCCTTAATATACTTAGTGGAATGTTATCTTTGTCTGCATCCTCATTATGTTGATTAAACTTTTTCTCCAAGTCTTCTCGATTATTGTTGAGCTAAGGTTCTCCCACGCCGCAGACAAATGTATGATTGTATCTTTTAGTGAAATCTTACTGACAATGAGTGTTGCAGCTATTCCGTTGATACAACAGAACTGAGCAAACTGTTTCTATGGTACAGTTTAGTGAGCCTTAAAATATTTTGGTCCATGGGTTGTATTGAAGACGTAACATTAGGAGGTAAGAATTTTACAAAGATCGTCCCATCTTTAGTCCTCAGTTCTGTTGCTGGTGGATGGGACGGCGCGTTATCTACAAGGACTTTTGGACTTTTTGATTTCCGCTTATGTAAGCCTGAAGCATTTACACAACCCATAAACGTCAGTCATTGCTTCAAAATTTTTAAGCCAGGAGCACTTTTTTCTGCTAATGAGACATAATATATGTTTTGTCAGGCATCTCATTAGCAT